AAAATAGACCATCTACTAATTTTTTAAAGACAAATATTTTTAAATTTTTTTTTATATAATTTCATCTCTTAACAACATAAAATTATAACAAAAAAATATATTAGACCGTTTAAAATTATAATAAAAAAAGATTAAACATGATTTATCATGTAGTATTTATCATTAAAACATGTACTTAAAAAGATTTTAATCTATTTAGTATATATATAATTAGTAATTACAAGTTATAGTTTAAACTTTTTACTAAAAAATTCAAATTTTTGACTTAAATTTTGTGAGCGGGTTTTTGCATAGAACCGAGTCACCAGTTTTTAGTCGGTTTTATCGGTTTAACTTAAATCTCTGAAGTTTTGACTCAACCCAAACAGGTCAAATAGCCGATTCCCCGTTATATCGGTCGGACCCATAAAGATAGTGTAGAGACAAAAACAAGCTCTAGGTTTTACCGAAAGTTTTAGGTGTGCGTTCGTAAAAGAAAAAGCCCAGCCCAAATATCTTCGCTTTTAGTAAACCCGATTCGGTTAAGAAACCCATCCGTTGCTGAATCTGGACAGTCCCCTCAAAAAAACTTGTGAGCTGCTTCGATGGTGTGATCGAAATGGCGTCGTCTTCTCCAACTCAGCGAACTCACGTCCCAATTCCTCCCGAGCCAGGTGCGATTTACAAAGCGCCTTTGATCTTCTTCGATTCACGATTTCTTGTCCCTTTGTTTTCGGGTTCTTACTCGCTCTGGATCATCCACCCACCAAGCTTCGCTGCTAATTTATCTTCATTTTTCTGCTTTTCTTCCTCTGTAGTTTTCGTCACGAATCGCTTAGCTTCGTTGTTTGTAGTTTACCTATATCGATCTGCTTATCCCTCAGATTCCTTAAAGAATTTTGTGGTTTTTCGCCGTCAATACCGATTATTTGTTAACGTAAACTTCATTTCTGATCGAAATGTGAGTTTAGCCATCTATTTCATGGGCGTATGTGTGTAAATTCCAATTCAAGGTTCTTCTTATTGCTTTCGGTTTTGACACGACTAGCAATGCCATCATTATACGAAGCAATTTTCGCGTAATTTCTGTTTTGATACAAAACGTCATAGAGACTGTTGAATAGCATGATTAAGGGGAAAGGTTAATGCATGAGTTTAAATAGCACAACAGAATCTCTGTTTGCTGCTTAGATTGTACATTAGTTTGTATTTGTTTGTATTTTGATTGTGCAAGCAGTCTATATTGACATAAATCTTTTTGTTTCATGTCTGACATTCTTTAGTTTTATTCTGCAGGCGGCAGGGCACTGACACAAGATGTTAATGAGCCACCAGTTCCCATTCACATAGTGACGGATCCGTTGCAACTTCCTGCTGATTTCCTAAACCCTTCTCCCGATAAGAAATTAGTCATTGGTTTTGATTGTGAGGGTGTTGACCTCTGCCGACATGGCAAACTTTGTATCATGCAGGTGACCTTTGCTTCTTTATAGATTGCTGTTTCCTCTTTGTCTCTTAGAATGTGGAGCATTGTCACAGAGAATCCACTTATGGTTTATTGGTTCCACGTCCATGATATATGTCTTATTGCTTCTCTTGATGGTTTATATAATTCTTACTTGATATCCTGTCTTGGCAGATTGCGTTCTCTAATGCAATATACTTGGTTGATGTCATCCAAGGTGGAGAGACGCTTATGAAAGCCTGTAAGCCTGCACTCGAGTCTAATTACATCACAAAAGTTATTCACGATTGCAAACGTGACAGTGAGGTGTCTCAACTTTTTGATAGCTAGTTATGGTGGCTTATGGCATATTTTATAGTTCATGACATCAATCCTTAATTATTTTCGCACTACAGGCTTTATACTTCCAGTTTGGGATTAGGTTGCACAATGTTGTGGACACTCAGGTACATTTTTGGCAAAATCTCTTGCCTAGTCTATTTACTGCCGTAGAAACCTTGGTCCTGATTTTCTTATACTGTTTTTTGGTTCACAGATTGCTTATTCTCTGATAGAGGAACAAGAAGGCAGGAGGAGACCTCTAGATGATTACATTTCGTTTGTTTCTCTCCTTGCGGATCCACGTTACTGCGGTACTTTTTATATTATCATGTTAGTTTTTATTAATGATTATTGTAATATTTAATCCTCGTGGCTTCTTGTTCTGGCTATGGAATATACTGACTTCAGCCGAGCAAATGTTAATGCTAGTTCAACGTTATCTTTAGAGCCTGCTTTTTAGAAGTTCTTGTTCTGGTTCATTTTTTGTACCTTGAAATAATGATATTGACATTTTGCCTGGTGGTATAATCAATCGCTTTACATTTCCTTTTTTGTTTAGGCATATCCTATGATGAGAAAGAAGAAGTCCGTGTACTCATGCGACAGGTACATTATGTTCTCTACTAAATCCGTGCTAGAGTTTAAATTGAAATTATGCTTCCACACTGGATAATGAATTGTTTGCTTTTCCTTAATCTTTCAAATTTAGGACCCAAAATTTTGGACTTACAGACCGATGACTGAGCTAATGGTCCGTGCAGCTGCCGATGATGTCCGTTTCCTTCTGTATCTCTATCACAAAATGATGGGAAAACTGAATCAGCGGTCATTATGGCATCTCGCAGTTCGTGGTGCTTTGTACTGTCGGTGTCTCTGCTGCATGAAGGATGCTGATTTTGCTGATTGGCCAACTGTCCCTCCAATACCAGGTTTGTGCACAGAGTATGATATTATTCTGACCCGTTCAAGACATCAAAAAATAGGTTACTTTTTGGCTTTTGCAGTCGTAAAGATATATGAAAAAGTTTCCTTCAGTGCTTTGTTATCTGTGTTTACACTCTTGTCCTCATTAAGGCCGTATTTTCTGTAGACAGAAAGAGAAAAGAAAGGTGAAGTGGGTTTCAATTAGTTTGCTGATTGCACTTTGTCCTTTTAAGTGTTGCAGATAACCTGAGGTCAGAAGATCAATGTCCTGAAGAAGAAATCCTGTCGGTGCTTGATGTCCCACCAGGAAAGATGGGACGTGTGATTGGAAGGAAAGGAGCATCAATCCTCGCCATTAAGGAAGCTTGCAAGTATAAACCCTCTAGTTCATGTTGTAGTAGTGCGAACAAGACATATGATAACTTACTGTCATATAATTTCAAGTGATGTATTATTTGTCTTGCAGCGCGGAAATTCTCATTGGAGGTGCAAAGGGTCCACCTGACAAGGTTAGTCGTAGACTCGTAAATCCATTGGGCACAAAATGTCAAAAATGAGAGGTTGGTGGAACTTGAAGAAGTAACCTAGTGTTTTGTGAAAACGGGTTTGGTGTAGATATTTGTGATTGGACCGGTGAAGGAAGTGCGCAAGGCGGAGGCTATACTGAGAGGAAGAATGATAGACTATTGAAGGAGAGGAGGGTCCTTTGTAATCTGTCCCTTTGCCCCTATCGAAACTGTTTGTTACAAACACTAAAACCCTCTTTAAACTTGGAAACTCCATGGTTCAGTACCACCAGGGAGTGTCCCCTCTTCAATAAAAGTTAAATNATTAACTGAAAAATTACCCTTTCCATTTCCAAAACCGGACGCTATTTCCTGATAAAACAAAAGACCGTATCAGTTGTGGTTTATTGGCAAAGGCCATATTATGAAACAGAAGTGTTTATCTTGTATTTTCTTCACCAATACTACTTTCCGACTCAAGTTTATTTACTTTATGACTCAAATTCACTGTCTCAAACCCAAATGCTGATCTCTCAAAATTGTTCAGCCTTTGTTTATTCCTTATGATGACATAGTTAAAAGGTAAAATTACGTTGGAGAAAGGATAATAATACACACAGGGTGGACACGGAATATCCTAGAATTTGGTGGTAACTGTGGTATCCATGATTTGTTTCGCTTCATCCGGTTGATCTATTTTCAGTTTATATGCTTCACTTCGCTTCATCGGATATCCATTAAAATATGTTTTTCGATGTAATAAAATACTCGAGTTACTTCTTATTACGTGTGTGTTTTTATGTTGGACTCGTTCTATGAGATGTACTATCTCTTCTCAAATCAGTTTCACCCGGATGACAAAAAAGAAAAAAAGATTTGACAAGTAAATTACAAACACAACATTAGTCAACAACCCC